CACTGGCAAGGCGCTCGCTGCTGCAAAGCTTGCGGCTTGCTTGGCCTCATCTGGAAAGGGCGCTTCCTCCCACAAGCTGGTCGAAGCAACCTTCCTCGCCTGCTGTAGGAAGCTGAGCATCCCGGAGCAAGGCCCGAAGACTGACACAGCGCAGCCACGTGTGGCAGTGTTCGACAGCTTAGTTGGCACGGATCGCGCGCAACAAGCCAAGGGAACGGGCCATAAAAGCGGGCTTTTTCCGAGCTAGCTACTGCCTCGTAGCACTATTCTTCCATGTGCGTTTGCTACCGAACCAACTTGCTTGATCCGCTACCTCCTGATCAACAACCAAATTCGCAACCACCAATGGCACGAGATCAGTTTCTTGACCTCATCGTCTACACGACTACTGAAATTGTGGTATTAGCTTCATCGCCTACCAGAATATGATTTCTGAGGTGAGTGAGTCGATGGTTTCTGAGAATCGGGGGGTACCGAATAGCCATCTCAACTTCAACATGTTATTTTTCTTTCTCGCATGAGTCGCTCCGCACGTTTCAACTTGGGCCGCTCGTGTAAATGTATGGAAAAGGATGCGCGCGTAAAAATGGTACGTGAAGAGGACGCTGTGACCGCCGCAATGATCGCGAGCATCAAACCTCTTCGGTTTGTCCTTCCTCTTCTGAGTGCCTTTCTGGGAGCCCTTCCTCCCTTTTCTTTTGCCCTTCACCTTACTTATTCCTTGTTTTGATGACCGGAGCCGCTTGCGTGTTCATTGGGGGAGACCTCGAAGCATCCCTGTTCTCCGGCCCTTCCATTGCTCTTTCTTGAGATCGCTTGGCTCCCCTGTGTTGTCACCAATTGTCAAGGGGAAGGGGATGCGTGTGTGGATCTTGTCTTCCTTGCTGACAGCCCTCTCATAGTTCGCATACTTCTGCGCGAGGAGTCCATTCCATGGTACTTCAAAAGACTTACAAACAGAATGTACAAAGCGTCCCTGCGTCCTTGCAGTGAGGACTGCAAGAATGAGTTCCCGGATTTACCAAGGCTGGTGATGAGGCCTCTTCGGCTCCTCTCTCCTGGATCCTGGTATGCCTTATTGCGGCATCTTTCAATTCTCCCACCTTCGCCTGGGTTGCTCTGACGCCACAGCCTCAATTTGGGCATTTGGGCCACGTTCGTGCTATCATGGTTCCGGTCAAGCGCAAAGCCCCTTTCGTTCGGATGAACTCCTTCATGCCCAGGGTGCAGAAGGCATTTGGAATATTCTCCTCCTTGATGTCGCGCTTCATGCTTTGAAGTCTTTCATGCTGATGTCACCAGGCCGAAAATAGACATTACCGGGCAAACGCTTCGGAACCTTGAAGCGGGTGTCGTTAGACTTCCTCGGCTTCAAGACGCTCGTCAGGTCCCTAGACAGGATCCATCGTCATCGATTGAGAGGCAAGAGTGTCAGATGTGGCTTCTGGAAGGGGGTCCATCCCCCTTCACGATCTTGTTCAAGGAACAGTAGTTGCGTCAGCGCCTTCATTTTTGGGCCGCTGCAGCTGCTTATTGCGCTTCCAGTGATCTTCCCGACATAGGGGCCGCGACCGCTGCATCCTCGTAGAAGGCACAGCCGCGGCAAGAGGTGGCAGAATCTTCCGGGTGCACCCAAAGCAGTAACATGCCAGAGCCCAGGTGGCTCTCAAACGTGGCGCGACGAGCTTGGATGCTCTCGCATGAAACATGTTGGCCTCCGCTCTGCGCTCGCTCTGGGCAGCGCCGTGCGCAAGGCCCTGCCCTTCCGCTTGCGCACGCCTTCGCGCCCCAGACGATGTTGCTTCGGGCGCTTGTCTGTCCATGCCATTGTTCGAGCGATTGATTGCGCGCCAGCTCCTCCGCATGGCTGCGCCGAGCGCCCGGGCGGCGTTCGCGCAGCTCTGCTAAGTCACAAACGATGTGGGCCCGCTGTTCTGCTCGTCTGCGCCATCATTCGACGATGGAAATTTCTCTTGCTGGCGATCAAGCAGGACTAGCATTTGAGACATAGCCTGATTTTCTGAAGCGTCGCAGCATGTGGCTTGACCGCGGCGAAGATGATTCCCGCTCAGGAAAAACGCTTTTGCAAGGCCATCCTGCACGTGGTAGACAACAAGCAGAATGGCTTGTTCCTGAGGCTCGTTGCAACACCGAGCAAGAAGTCGAAAAACAAACCCTGTCATATGTGGCGCATAGCTGTGCGATGGTCGGGCTGGCTTGCTCCTGGTTCAGAATTCCAAGTGACTCAGCGACTGTATAGTCGGCAGCCCAGGTGCTGCGGCCCATCCAACAGCCATCCTTGCAAATCGAGCATTGGAAAATTGACTTCCCACCTACCACCAAGCCCAAGGCAACAGTAAGACATGAAGATAGCTGGTCAGATCCACAACCTCAAAAAGATAGCTCCGACCAGCTTCAGCTACCTGATCACAGATGTTGCAGGGAGAGCACGCCGGCAGCAGCTTGACTGCGACAGGGGCTTTTGCTGCTTTTTTTGCCCTGCAAAACAAGAATTGAGGGCTGCGCATCCCACTTTGAACATTCCTGACCAAACGGGCTGGTCGGTGGGGCTGCGTGGTGTGACTTGTCGAGGATAGGCAAGAGAAACTGCGCTTCGCACTCAGCTGGACATTCGCTTGGCCACCAGCTCCAGCATCAGCATGAACAAGTATCACCCTGCGGCAGCAGCAGCTCCCAAGGCGTACGATGCCCGCAACTGCCCCACGAGCAAAAAGGCGCTGAGGCCAGCAGGCGCCCTGTATCCCGTTAGCAGCGTGCACACGGGCGTGTCCTACTCCGACATGGGCATCAAGATAAAACGGCACAGTGATCTTCCCTGCCCTTGTGAACGTGCAAAGGGTGACGGCGAGCTGCGTCAATTTGGCAAAAAGTAGTAAACGCCCTCAGTTTTAAACCTCGAGCACGCTAATCCACGCAGAGGACCGATCGGGAATGTTGACAAGTAGTACATGACCTCAGCTGGTTAACATCCACCACGCTGATCCACGCAGAGGGTCGATCGGGCATGTTGACAAGTTGTAAACCCACGCAGAGGGTCGCTCGGGAATGTCGACAAGTAGTAAGCCTCCTCAGTGTTTAAGCATCGAGCACGCCGATCCACGCAGAGGGTCGATCGGGAATGTTGACAAGTAGTAAATGACCCTATTTCTTACTTGTCGAGCTGTACTTTCATTCTTTCAAGCGCGAATTCACTTGACTACACTACTCTAACCAACATCGCAGAAAACCTCTCGTGTACTTGCGCAAGCAACCTCATGCAACTTGCTTGTGCAACTCGCTCAAGCAATCTCTCATGTAACTCGCTAGTGTAACTCGCACGAGCAATCTCTCATGCGACGCTTGTGTAGCTCACTCAAGCAATCTCTCACGCAACTCGCTAGGGCAACTTGCTCTGCAACCCTCTGGTATCTCATTCTCACGCGCGATCTCCGATGCAACTCGCTCGTGTAAGATTCTCAGTGTAGCTTGCTTTGCAAACCTCTCGTGCGTCACCCGTGTGTGTCTTGCTTGCGCAACTTGCCCAAGAATTCTTTAATGTAAAGCTATCTCTCATGTGTCTTCGCGCAACTCGCTAGTGCAACTTGCTCTACCGACCTCCGCTCAATGCAAGAACCCTTCGCAACGCTTCCGGGCAAATCTCTGCGCGAACGCTCTTTGCGCGCTGCTTGCGCGCTTAAAAAGTTACGGCTTTGGCAGCCGGAGCTGCGGGGGAAGTTTGCTTGTTACGGCGGTCCGACACGCACGATCTCCAGCAGGTGAAGTACGGCAAGAAGATGGCAGGTGAAGTTGGCAGGTGAAGCAACTCTCAACAAGTTGGCAGGCGAAGTTGGCAAGTGAAACTTGCAGCCGCTCTTAGAGGAAAAACTCTTCGCAATGCTGCCGGGCACAAAACCAACAAACAAACTACCACAGACACGCGCACACACACACACACGCACAGACCGAGGCATAGAGACACACACACGCACACGCGGGCTGCTGCAAGCATGACACCACGAGCAGCACAAAAACACGCGCGCACGCACACACAGACACACAGAGTGATTGATTAATTGATTGTTTCATTGATTGCTTGCTTGCTCGCTGGCAGGCTGGCTGGCAAGCTGGTTTGCGTGCGTGCCTGCGTGCGTGCTTGCTTGTTTGCTTGCTCGCTTGCTTGCTTGCTTGCTTGCTTGCTTTTTTGCTTGCTTGCTTTTTTGCTTGCTTGCTTGCTTGCTTGCTTGCTTGCTGGCTGGCTGGCTGGCTGGCTGGCTGGCTGGCTGGCTGGCTGGCTGGCTGGCTGGCTGGCTGGCTGGCTGGCTGGCTGGCTTGCTTGCTTGCTGTCTTGCTGGGTTTGCTCGCTTGCTTGCGCGCTTGCTTGCTTGCTTGCTTGCTTGCTTGCTTGCTTGCTGGCTGGCTGGCTGGCTGGCTGGCTGGCTGGCTGGCTGGCTGGCTGGCTGGCTGGCTGGCTGGCTGGCTGGCTGGCTGGCTGGCTGGCTGGCTGGCTGGCTGGCTGGCTGGCTGGCTGGCTGGCTGGCTGGCTGGCTGGCTGGCTGGCTGGCTGGCTGGCTGGCTGGCTTGCTTGCTTGCTTGCTTGCTTGCTTGCTGTCTTGCTGGGTTTGCTCGCTTGCTTGCGCGCTTGCTTGCTTGCTTGCCTGTTTGGTTGCGCAGTTTGCAACACAACGAAGCACACACACACACACGGACACGCGCGCGCATGCCTCCGTTGCCCAGGTTGGTAGCTGAACACAGGACGCGGACCATTGTGACAAAAGGGAGCATGACGCATTGTGACTTCCGTGTAACTTGGTTTGCGGTTGGCTTTGTGTTGGTTTATAAGCTTGAAGTGTCTGGGAAACCCACAGGTTCGCGGTTGGCACCCGCCCCAACCGGAAATCATGAGGGCCTTCGCCTGCCTACACATGTCACCCCTTTCCCCAACCAAAAGCTATAAGGGGGATGACTCCGCGGTATCTCCCAAATTGCAGACAACGCCCGGCCTTCCTGTCTTTGCCATCTCCCGAACTCGTCCGCAGGGTCGCCGACCCTGGGTACGTTCCACAGTCCACAGGTCTCCGACTTTGGGAAATTTGGAGTGAGGAAAAGTGATCCGCATCAACTCCAATCGGGCCACCGCTGGACAAATAGAGCTTTGATCCTGGCGTAATGCCGGGGGCGCAAATTCCTTTTGAAGGGAAACTTTGAGGGACACCACCCCTATGTGTCCGCCCAGTTGAACCCAGACCCGGGGCCCACTTCCCGCGAGATAAACTGAGGAAACTACATACCTCGCGGCCAAGCGGCCCAGACCCAAAGGAACCCACTAGACAACTGCAACAACAAAGATAGCCAGGGAACGCAATAACCAAGAGCACAGCACCACGCCGACTGGCTGAGAAGCGGGACGTCTACTCCACGACAGCAGCGTGCGCTCCTTGCGATCCACCAAATGGGACGCAAAAAGCGCGGGCGCTGCTCGACGCACGCTTGCCGAGCGCTTCGTGACCAAACTCCGTTTCTGGAAATATGCATTCTGCAGCGACAACTCAATCCACGGCAATCGACTATCCGCTACTGGCCTGCCCCGGAAACACTGATCGCATCGGCAACGCTCCCGCCCACCTACTCGGGATGTCTCTCTTCCAGCGGTGTTTGGGCGCAACCGAGCGTTGGATGAGCGGGCGCCATGTAGACAAGGCAGCCACTCTGCAAAACAAATGCAACTACGCACCATGAACAAAGACTCACTGCTTGCTGCTCTCACGCACTAAGGTGGTATCAACGTGTACCTGACATTTTGCAAGCACCTGTCTCGGTATGAGCTGTTCCTATCAAAGCAACCAGCAGCAAAGACACGCCGCACCCCGCTGCCCACGCGCACCCCTTCCTCCCTCAGTCACTCTGAAGGCCCGAGCGCGTGGTGTGCGTGCGCGTGGTCCCGTAATCTTGTGTCAGCACTGCCCCAGACCAAATCCGACCAAACCCGCCCCGGTACACGGCCATCTGCACCTCATTCACGCTGCCTCTGACCAACCCCTCCCCCCCACAGCAGCGTTCGCGAGGTAAACTGCAGACTCGGCATGCTTGAAGCCGCCCACCGATCCTCGCTCCCTCGCTAGACTAAACGAGAACCCAACCCGCTTTGCGACACAAACTGGCCTTTGTTCAGGGCGCAAATTGGCCATCTGTCTCTCGACATGCCGAATGCCCGTGCCTGGAAGTGAAGCACACCGCCACCACGTCGTTGCGCCGAAAGACCCGAAGCTCGGAGGCCCTGCATTTCTTTCATTGGGAAACATCCTAAACCAAAAACAAATCCAATAAAACTCCAGCAAAACTCCAACAAAAAATCCAACTGTTCCAAAATTGGCTCAACAGAGAGCAGGATGGCTCTGCTCCATGCGTGAAATCCAAAGATATTCAGCTCTGCCTGGACCAGAGCACGTGGCCGCTGAACACCACCAGCTGCTCTGAGAGCTCCCGCCCTGTCCAGATTCCCGGATTCCCAAAGCCCAACAAGCGGAAACATCCGAAACGAAAAGCGGAAGCAGAGTTGAAACAGAGCAACGTACAAAACCTACAAAGCTCTTTTTGGGAAAATGGAACAAGCCCAACAAAGCCATGGACCTGGCAGTTATGTTTAGAACATGGAACCCCACATCCGATTCAGCACCTTCTTGGAAGCAGGGGCAAAATGTCCCCAAAATGCCACAAACGGTGCTCATTTTTGACAATACCTTCTGCATTGCCACTTTCAGAAAGTGGCACAACCTCAAACCCAACTTCACACATGGATCGGGTCCTCCCCAAAGCAAAGTGAAAACAAACCATTTGCAGGGAGAACCGAATCGAGCTCCCAAGAACAAAACACCCTCCCTCCATCTGGCTCCTCGCACTTGGTAAGGGACGGTCCTTTCACTAAAGGAATGATCACCAATTGCATGACATGGAAGGGTACCCTTCAATCAAAGACATAGATAGCAATCAGCACAGCATCGGGTATCGCAAATTTGTGGCTCACGTATTGGATAGTACCCAGCTCGCAAATTCCCATCCCCTAAAAAGCCGGTGGCTCCCATGCAGAGTGAAGCCAATTTGAACTTCCGGCAAATGAAAGAGAAACCGAAGTTCCAGATCGCAAACACTTGATTCCGGTGCCGAATGAGGTCCTGGGCTGCTCGCAGCACGAGTGCAATGTTTTGAGAGACTCCAATGTCACCACTTTTGGCCTGCATCGCGGGTGGCGAACTTGAACTTGGCAACATGAGTGCTCGTCTGCTTCCCCTGTGGGGAAGCCATTCGCTCAGGTTCAAACAGTTCCAAGAGTTTGAATGGTTTTTTGGCACTGTTCGCTGGATCCATGCGCTTGACACATGGGCTGCTGCTGGCTCGTGCGCTTGACTCATGGCTCCATGTCTAACTCTCTGTGCCAGGTACACACGGCATACATGGTGTGCGTGCCCATGAGATCCTGCAAGATCCAACCACATCCTACGGGCTCCTCAAGTTCCGGATTGCCCGCTTTGGGGGCTTTGACTGATTGCCCAGCCAGCTTCTCCTGAGAGGTGGGTACCCTCACACTTCCACAAGATCTGAGAGAAAGTACATCTTCCACGTAAGCTGACCACCAGTCATGTTAGATTGCCGTGTGTTTCCGGTTACCTACTCACAATGTTGAAGGAATTAAGCGTACCTGGTTTGGATCTTTTACTCTCTATCAGATTCCATCTTGGGTGTATCTCCAACTGCCACTTCGTTTGTCGTCGTTGGCGACGGCAAGAGGACATGTAAAGGCCACGCCATCTGATCCGGGCCCATGTTGGTTCGAGGACAGTCTACGGAGCCGGTCCGCTTTGGGGGCTGGAGGGAAGAGGAGATTGCTATGGAGATTGCTATGATATTGCTCTGTTTTTCAGTCCCGCAAGTCCCAAATGACTACAACCTAAGGGATTGTTTGAAACTTCGCGTGCCTCAAAACGGTTCAAGCGCTTGCGCCTTAGGCCTTGCTTTGCCACTGCTCTGGAAATATATCGGCATCGTGGTTGCGTGATCAAGACAGAAGTACCTTTTCTCCTAGACACTCCAAGTGACACGACTCCACAAGCAGACTTGCCCGAACCTCGTACCTGTCTGTTAGGGGAAGTGACCCTTCACTAGCATACTATCAGAAAATGCGCGAACCTCTTGCAAACGTGGTAAGCACTTTAGTCATTCAACATTTTTGATGACAAATTGGGCACCCCAAATGAGGTGTTCCATGCCACGTGGACTCTGCGCCCTTCTGACGAAGGACTGTTGCTCATTTGATACTTAAGATGTACAGCACTTGCTAGCCGATTTTCTTGGGGCCTTACCACTCCACTGTTGTCTTTTTTGAGGGTACCCCTTTGGGTTTGTTTGAGAGAATCCAATTTAGGCCCGGCTTTGCTTCCACCATTGTACAACCACCTACAACTGCAAAAGCCTGTCTAGTAGGGGCTCCTATCCTGTTTGTCGGGATAGTGGCCTGTATAAAACGGTTGTCCATCTTGGTAGAAGCTAGGGTTGGTTTATCGCTGATCATCCACCGCGAGCATAAGCTGCCCAGCACTCCAAGGATGTTTTTGTTTGGCAAGGGACCCTTTAGTCCCTATTGAAACCGAAAGAAAACAAACCACGTCTGGTCCGACTCTTGTTGGAAAGCCCGCCCAGGCACTGTGCCGACTTGACAGCGCCTGCCGCAGTAACTCCCTCCTTGCACCTTGCAATTGGGGTCGTAGCCAATGAGCTTTTGCGTGAGGGTTACGAACGTTCAAGACCCGTCATATATGCATGCCAAGAGCTTAAAGACTGCGTCATCGTTTTGAAATGGCTTCGAAAGGACGCCGAAAGGAAACAACCAAATTCGGAAGTGAACCAAATTGTGATGCCACAGTGGCTCCATGCTATTAGACCTTCGACTGCGGGCAAGGGTACTGGGAACCCCTCTGATGAAACCCCCGATTGATAGGGGGTAATTGGGTATTGGAGGGTTTAAGAGGGGATCGGGATGTTGCACTATTTGGGTCAACTGTGACGTTGATGCAACTTGGGTTGAAAAGGTGATTTATGTGGCATGAACAAATGTCTAGTCCGTTGGTGAAAACGAGAGCTCAGCTGTCTAGTCCGGCGCGAGCACCTGGAGCTGCATCCGAAGCATCTACGGCAAACAGCTGTCTCTTCAGCGGTTCTCCAAGCCAAAGCCAAACTTCATGATCATAGTTCGTGCTCAGTTTGGAACAAGCGAGGCGGGGTGCTTCGAGTCTGGTCCCCTTGCCATGTTCAAGAAGAGAAAACATGCAAACACTCCAACCTTGGTGACAAAAGCCACGAGATTGCCGTGCTCCGAGCCCAGGACTTGAGGTTGCAATCCGCGTTCGCTTTCAAAAGCTCCTCACATTTGTGCATTTCATGGCTTTGGAACCGTGAACAACTCTGTTTAAATCCCCAAAAGGGTCCTGCCCCACCAACCTCAAATAACCAGGTGTTTCCCCAAGTAAGTAGGGGTTTTGACCGAGGCAAATGAGAGAAATACGCTAGACTTCCAATTTTTCGGATCGTGGCTGCCTCTGAATTGGGTTGCACGTCCCATAAATCAACCAGGAGTTCTGCGTTATCAACCAGGGGTTCCCCCCACCAACAAGCCAAATGACGCAACCTCGCTCTCCTGCGTCAGGGCAACAGCTCCCACAGCGCTGGCATAGTGCAGGGCACTCATTCCTAGCGAAGCGAGCTTTACCGATCGGCCATGCCGAGTTTCAACTTCCAGGAGAACACTCACTAGCTTCCTTAGGTTTCCTTGGAATCTTCCTGACTTGAAGGCCGTCTTTTCCTTTGACAATATGGGTTTGTATTTTTTTACGGGGGCCGGGCAGGAAGGTTTGAGTGCGGGGTATGATTCGCAGGTATGATTCGCGGGTATGATTCGGGGTATGATTCGGGGGTATGATTCGCGGAAGCAGCAGCAGCAGCAGCAGCAGCAGTAGCAGTAGTAGTAGTAGCAGTAGTCGTCAAAGTAGTAGTACTAGTAGTAATATTGTAGTAGTAATTAGTAGTAGTAGTACAGTAGTAGTTGTAGTAGCAGTAGTAGTAGCAGTAGTAGTAGTAGTAGTGGTAGTAGTAGAAGTAGAAGTAGAAGTAGAAGTAGTAGTAGTAGTAGTAGTAGTAGTAGTAGTAGTAGTAGTTAGTAGTAACAGTAGAAGCAGCGACTGTAGTGGCGCGGAAGCTTTGAAAAGACTTGGCGCTGGCCTTGGCAAGGCAAGTTCATTGCGCGGGTATGATTGGGGTATGATTCGCGGGTATGATTCGGCTAGGTGCAAAACGGCACTGATTTCAAACTCAGAATGGTGACTGTAGTATTAGCTGTGGTAGTAGTAGTAGTAGCAGCAGCAGGTTGCAGAAGTAGTGGTAGCAGCGGTAGCATAAGCAGCAGCGGCTGTAGTGGTGCGGACGCTTTGAAAAAGACTTGGCACTAGCCTTGGCAGGGGAAGCTCATTGTCCGGGTATGATTCGGGTATGATTCGCGGGTAGTAGTAGTAGTAGTAGTAGTAGTAAGTAGTAGTAGTAGTAGTAGTAGTAGTAGTAGTAGTAGTAGTAGTAGTAGTAGTAGTAGTAGTAGTAGTAGTAGTAGTAGTAGTAGTAGTAGTAGAAGAGAAGTAGTAGTAGTAGTAGTAGTAGTAGTAATAGTAGTAGTAGTAGTAGTAGTAGTAGTAGTTAGTAGTTAAGTAAGGGTAGAAGAAGCAGAAGTAGAAGCAGTAGAGTAGTAGTAGCAGCGGTAGTAGCGGTGGTAGTGGTAGTAATACTCGTAGTCGCGGTTGTAGCAGTAGTAGTAGTAGTAGAAGTAGTGCTGGTAGCAGTAGTAGTAGTAATTGGAGTAGTAGTAGTAGTAGTCGTCGTAGTCGTAGTCGTAGTTTTGGGTAGCGCTGGTGGTGGTTGTTGTGGAGGCAGTGAACAACACAAAACGGTAGAAGAACGGTAGCATCTTGCAGCATACGTTTTAAGGGGTATGATTCGGGGGTATGATTCGGGGTATGATTCGGGGGTATGATTCGGGGGTATGATTCGGGGAGGTCCCACCTTCTGCCTTTTGAAGCAACTCAACACACCAAAAAAGGACAAACCCAAATTTTCATGATAACATGACTCACAGAATCCGCCGACCCCTTCTCCTCAAAGGGGGAGGCGTACGGGAAGGGCGGTTACAAGTCCAAGGCTGGCTGGTAAATGAGCATAATCGAAGATTCAGGATCATCATCATCATCATCATCATCATCGGCGTGGCGGTCGTCGCCGCTGTCCCTATCTTGATTATCATGATGACTGCTGGTGATGCTGAGGAGGCGTCATGATGATTATCATGTCAGTTCATCATCATCATCATCATCATCATCACGGTGCTCATCATCATCAGCTTCTTCGTCATCGTCCTTATCTTTTTTTAATCTTTTTTATATACGTTTCAAGTGTCCCGTTAGACCCGATTCGAGATGCAGAAGATGCGCGGACATGATTATCATGATGACTGCTGGTGATGCTGAGGATGCCTCATGATGATTATCATGTCAGTTCATCATCATCATCATCATCAGCATCATCATCACGGTGCTCATCATCATCTTCTTCGTCATCGTCCTTATCTTTTTTTATGTACGTTTCAAGTGTCCCGTTAGACCCGATTTGAGATGCACAAGATGCGTGCACATGATTATCACGATGACTGCTGGTGATGCTGAGGATGCGTCATGATGATTATCATGGCAAGTCATCATCATCATCATCATCATCATCACGGTGCTTATCATCATCATCTTCTTCGTCATCGTCCTTATCTATTTTTTATATACGTTTCAAGTGTCCCGTTAGACCCGATTTGAGATGCAGAAGATGCGCGGACATGATTATCATGATGACTGCTGCTGATGCTGAGGATGCGTCATCATGATTATCATGTCACTTGGTGTTCATCATCATCATCTTCTTTGTCATCGTCCTTATCTTTTTTTATATACGTTTCAAGTGTCCGTTAGACCCGATTGGAGATGCAGAAGATGCGTGGACATGATTATCATGATGACTGCTGGTGATGCTGAGGATGCGTCATCATGATTATCATGTCAGTTCATCATCATCATCATCAGCATCATCACGGTGCTTATCATCATCATCTTCTTCGTCATCGTCCTTATCTTATTTTTTATATACGTTTCAAGTGTCCCGTTAGACCCGATTTGAGATGCAGAAGATGCGCAGACATGATTATCATGATGACTGCTGGTGATGCTGAGGATGCGTCATGAT